GGTTAGGGGTTGATTCTAGGTTGTTGTTGTTTAATTAATGGTTTAAACATGTTTTTAATGAGTTTAAAGCCCTCAAATAATGCCGAAATTTATCTATGCACACTACTTTTTAATTATTGAGTTAGGGTTTGATTACCTATAAAAGGGAATAAGGTTTTAATGATTTAAATATGATTTCCTAGTCTATTAGTGATGTTTTACATTAAATATGTATGCTGGAATTTTATTTAAGTCATAAAGCTTTTTGAAAAGATTTGAAGTACCCACTTAGATAAAAGTTTTATGGCTTTTATGTCATTAAATTGGGTTAATTAGTAAGGTTTAAAGAGTATTATAGTTGTTGGAGATTTGTGAGAATAGTAGATTAATTATAGTTATGTATTCTTATTTGTAGGAAGCTTCGAGCTAGGTGATTTCTAGCGAGTGTGGCCGAGTTTAGGCGTTTTTTCAAGGTACGTATATGCACAAGAATATTTGTGTATTCGTAGTATCATGCTAGGATTTGTAAAGTATGATTTAAGTGATGAATTAGTAGCATGTTTGGTTGATTATATGCTTGGAATTGATGTTGGTTGAACATGATTTGTTATACAAGCATGTGAATATATTATTTGAGGCATGATACGAGTTGAGTAAGTATGAATCATGGAAGTATGTTTTATTTTCAAGTATCAAGAAGGCATGTATTTAATAAGCAAGGCTTATATATGAATTAAAAGAGCAAATCAGGATTATTGAGCATGATTCATGAATTTATTTCTCACCCATTTATTATTAGTGTTGAGTCAAGAAGTTAATCTATTTATTTACTCACTCATGTAAGTTGAGTCGAGTCAAGGAAGTTGAGTTGTGCATTTTTATGCACCAAGGTAGTAATCGTGGCACTTTTGTGCACAAATTAGGCAAGGAACCTTAATTAAGATAAATAGTATGTGCTCATTAATTAATTCAAGAATGAATCGGAAGTTTGTATGGAATGTTATTATGTTTGTTCTTGATGGATTGGTTTGATTCATCACGAGTTAAATTGGTAAAATCACGTAAAGTGTAAGAGGATATGCACCAAAACTTTTGGAACGTATATACCTTGAGTATGAACATATGGGAGGACAAGGTGTTGTACTTCTTTTATTATTAATGCGCTGGAATTCCGTCACAAGGTGACATAGCAAGTGCTAATTGGGGTAGCTCCCTGATTGGAAGCTCAATATTTAAATGGGCTATTTTCAAGAAGAAAACCCGTTCGATGGTAATCCAAAATTAATTATTAATAATTAATAATTGCTAGTTATGAGTCAAAGGTAAGTTGACTTGTGATTGTGTGGCGAGCATGTTTTAATTATTGTTTTTATTTTGATGCTAGGATATTCATGTTAGTGTGGTGCATAATGTACTCAGCTTTTCTTATTCGTACTTTGTTGTTTGTGTTTGGCTTCCCTTGGATTGACCCTACTATGACCCATTTTTATGGTGAGTAGAGAGTTGAAAAAAAGAGGAAGTAATAGGTATTTCAAGCATGAAGAGCATGATGGGATAGAGTGCATAGAGTTACTTGTTATGTTTCTTAGTTTTTAATATTTTTGAATGATTGATTATTGTTTATGGACTTACAATATTATGTTTGTTTTTAATTGGTTTTTAAGAAGGACCATGTTTGAATTGGTTCCAACTTGTGAATGTCATATTCTACTTTTGTTTTGAGGTTGTGAACTCAAGTTTTATTTTGAAAGTTGGTTTTTATGTTTTAGACTTCCGCTGTGTGACTTTGAAAATTTGTCTTAGCCGTTATCACGGTGGCGGTAATATTTTGGTTATTTCCTAAAAAGGGTTTTATGTAGAGTAAAAAGAGTATTTTAAAGGAAGGAAATTTCCAGGGTATTACAGATATGGTTAGGTATGACGCGCACGAGCCACCCTAGTATTAATAAAAAGTTGCGTCGTACGACATCAATAAATGACATCTAACATTCTGCATCAAAAATCCTAGTTGCCCTTTCTCCTTTCTCTCCTTTTAACTTTATAATGTTCTTCAAAATTATTGTTTCATAGGATGAAAATAGCCAAAATCTATTTATGTTATCAATCCAACGAAACTACATTCGTTGAGTGCAGTAAGTGCCCTTATTGTGGGTTTTGTTCAAGTTTGGTCATCTGAGTTTAGTATAGTACAAGTTGTTGGATGGGTAAACCTAAGATTTATACAAGATCGAAATCGAGGTTAATTTTTCGATTATAATTAGATGAGTCAGACAATTATTTTCTTCGTCACAGCTACAACAGATCAACAAATCCCCCTCGCTGAAAAATGATGTAAATCACAACGATATGAAATGAGTATAAAGCTAAGAACGTACGATTTGCAACAACGATTGTAACTTTTCTGAAAGGATGTTTTAATTTTAATCAATTGATATGTATTATTATTTTTAAATCTCTTTGCCTATGTCGTTAGCATGTTAGCAACAACATTGAATATTCAAATAGAATTTTGTAGAGAAGCGTGTATGGCTCGAAGAAGCCCCTACTAATGTAAACTCTGCCCTTGTTTTTGACTCTGCTAATGCTTAATGATATGTGAGCACTTCGATCTCATCAAAAAAATAAAAAATTGAATATTTCTCTCCCGACCCCTCTCTCCTTTCTCCCCTCTCCTCTCTCCAAAACCCTAGCCTCTATTGTTAAATTTTGGAGGAGCTTCAATCGGTTGTTACCGATTGACAGCCCCAATCTCTCTCTCTTTTTTTCTTTTTTTTTTTTATTTTATTTTTGTGTGTGTGTGTGTGTCTTTTCTCTTTATTTTTGTTTGTTTTAGGTTTATAACTAGTTATTGGTCCGGATAATGCCTTGGTACATCATAAATTTATAAGTTTGTTTAAAGAAGGGTTAATATTAAACAATATTAATAAGTGAATGAATTATGTAATAATCTCTATATTATCTTTCATTAATGTATACTACATATAAGATATATCAAATTTAAATAGGGCGTAGGTGACACATGGCGCACATGTTGCACCAAATCATATTGAATAAAAAGGTGACACATGGCGTTAGCATGTTATCCCTATGAGTTTTTTTTTCTCTCTTATAAGGGAGGATTTTTCTTATAAGAAAGAGATTTTTCTTCTCTCTTATAAGGGAGGATTTCCTTTTTTTTTTTTGTTTGATAATTTGCTATAGAGTTGCTTCATTGTTAAAGATTTGTGCGAGATAAAAAAAGAGGTTAAATGTTCGATTACAATCATATGATTTTTTTTTTTTCACGCCTTACAATAGATTGATAGACCCCTCGCTGAAGAAGGTTGTAAATCACAAGAATGTGAAAGATGGTATGAAGAATATACAATTTGTAACAACGATCGTAGCTTTACTAAAAGTATTTGTTAAATATAAATCTCTTTGCAGATGCCGTATGAGTTTTTATTTATGAGTTTTTTTTAATTTTTTTTTTTGGACACAAAGCAGAAGGATAGCTTTATTAGTTGACATAATGTCAGCCATTACAAGGTTCAAAGCATCAATAGGAGCTTCTTCAATCCATACACGACGTAAGCTATCAAAGTTTTTGCTAAGGCTAGCCTAACATCAAATCGATCACATTGCAAGAAAATATAATATAGAGGACATTAAAAAATTTCAATTTAATTGTAAACTATATATTATCTTTCCTTTGATATCTTATCTTTGAATCAATTAAAGATCAGAAGAAGCAATTTTGAATTATAAATAATTGAAGACTAACCATAAATTGCGCAAGATACTCTTGTATTTTTATTTTTTTTATTTTATTTGAAGAAAGACACTCTTGTATTTTATTTGATATAATATATTGATATAGATTTTTATAATTTTTTTATTTTTTTAATTTTTTTTTAATTTTTTTTAAGGGAGCCACAAGAGCGGAGGTGATATGAATCGATATCAAGATCTCTTGGAATCGGGAAGGAACCTCTAACCACTTGAGGCCTTGAGCTATCCCTCACTCTCAATAAAGAAGTGTCACTAATACTAGTTTAGATCCCATGTCATGCACGGTTATTATTAAAATTATTCTTAATCAGCTTGACAACATTTAATAAAACATCTTAGATCACTAACTTTAGTTTTATGAAAATTGTTACGGAGTACTCGTGAAAAAAAAAATTATTATGGAGTATCTTTGTATGTTAAAAGGTATGGAGTATATTAAATCTTTTGTTTTAAGTAATTACTATATTATTGAAAATATTAAAGTTTTTTTTAAAAAAAAAAAAAGTTTAAAGACACAACAGGAGATGATACGTGTAATTGTGTGTGTCTTTTAATATATAAAGTTATTAATTATTGATTATTGAAATATATAAATAAATACATTTTTAAAGAAGTAAAAAGTTTAAACTAATTAAAAACCGATATGTCTCACGACCTTGTAGACTAGAAGCGATTTTAAACAACTAATAGTTGATACACACATTATAAATTGCACGCTATTTGACAATATAAATGTATAATAGGAAACAACACTAATTCACTTCCAAATAAACAATACAAGTATTTAGAAATGGATGAAGTAGTACGTATTCGAGAACGAGTAATGACGTGTTGTATGAAAACTAAGAATACAAGGACCGGCACTTTTTAGAGTAAAGACCTCGTCATAGCTTGTCAAGAGAATTGAATAAAATCAAATTTAATAATTTCGGCCATACAAGTTACATTACATACCAATCTACATTATACGTTCAATCATACACCTCACATAAAATTCCAATCAAGAAAAACTAAAAAGGACATTTTTAGCCCTTTTAATTACAAACTCTATTTTGTCAAACCTTACCTTATATAAAGTTTATTTTGCCTCATTTTCTAATATTATTAACCAACCACACTATCTATCTCTTTATTATCTCTCTCTTCCATTATATACTTCTTCAACACCAAACCTAAAAACAATATAATTCATTCTTTTAGTCAAACCCTTCTTTCTCTCTCTACACACATTTCATACTTAATTCAATTCCATGTCTAATGAAGCAACTAATTACCATCATAATCTCTATAATAATCACTCTTCCATGTCTAATGAAGATCATCAATCTATATTAGACAATACTAATTTCTTCTCATTTTTTGATAACCCTAATAATTTTAATACACCTTGTGTAGATAATAATAATAATAATCCATCTAATAATGATGATACTTATTACAACTTTAATGAGTTCTTACATGGTTCTTCTATGGATTACCCTACGCTCGCGAAGAGCGTAGGGGTATCCCCTACTTCCTCTGAAGTGTTTTCCTCCGTTGTCGACGAAAACCCGGCAATGGCCAAAGAAAAGGAGGCAGCGGCAGGTGTTGTTGTTGGAAATGGGGGCAATCCTAGCACTCCTAACTCTTCCATCTCTTCCTCTTCTACGGAAGCCGGTGGCGCCGATGATGGTTCAGTTGGGAAGAAAGATAATAAGCAGCACCCTAATAAAGCGGTTGATGATCAAGATGAGTTAAAGCAAGGGTATGTTCATTAACACTTCATTTGGTAAAGAAGTAGAGTATTAATTAGTGATTTTTAATTCCTTAATTAATATAGTTAGGTAACTTGACCAAAGGGAATAAAAAACTTTTCATAAAAAAAAATATCTCTTTTTATTATGCTCATATTTGTTAAAGACTTATGATATAAGATCTTGAATTAATTGTATTTTCTTCA